CGTTGTTGTGCTGCATGTTGTCGTGATGTCACATTGTCCTCGGCTCAAATCGAAGGTTTGGCTATTTGTATACATATATAAGCCAAACGACAGGTCGACATCGCGACAACGCGCCGCACGACAACGCGCCGTTTGGCGTGCTTCGCTAGCGACAGGACGACAAGACGACAGTGCGACAGTGCGCCACTTTACTGTTTCGCCAATGAAGAGATGACATGACAAAAAAGCGATAACGATATAGATTGTGTTGTCGATATCGACAATTCAACGCACAAAGTGTACCAAATCAGCCACCATAAATTTATCCACCAACAATATAGCCCAACTATATTTTTCATGGGGTTTTAGAACGTAAATATACTGATCTTGATTTTGATTTTGAGTGATCTGTATGATACATATTGCACGGTATATCATAATGTATCACTCAGGCCTACGGTCTTCGGGATTATATTACTGATCATCTGAATCCATACCGCGTCATATTATAACACAGATCACTCAAAATCAAGATACATTTCGTAATTTAAGTTTATTTTCTCACCTTACTTCATACAAGATACTTATCATAAGAGTTTGAACAAGTTATTTACCAAAAAAACATAAAGGCCTTCGTACGTACGATACGAATTTTCCATAGAAACGTATGTTGTTTTTCGTGCACGCCCATTTTGCGTAGGACAAAAGGCAATGAATGTAATATATTATATCGGTATTTAACAACTTCATAAACAACTTTATGTTATGTAAAAGATAAGTCATTGGTTAAAAATGGATTATTCTGATAAGTTACCGTTAGAGGTGTACGGAGGTTTGCTAATGCATTTTTAAAGCACTGCACTCCTAAATCAGAGGTCGCGATTACGAAATTTATATTCTATTTTCATTTTCCACAATGATATTCAAACTTGCTTTCAGAGGTAAGACTCGTAAATGTCAAGTAATGATACTCCAAAAAAGTCACATGTTAACAAAAGTCACATTTGTTAGGACCACGTTGCCGATTACGTCCTCTATGCTGTCTGGAGAAGAGTTCGCCATATTATCGGCATCCATTTATTTTCTATATGAGATATAAATTTGACTATAAAAAGTTATCTTTTTAATCAGGACAGAGTGTTACATAAATGAGTTAACAAATCATAAAAATATTGACTTCAAACCTTTTTGAGGAGGATGTACAATAAATAACATAATATATTGATTTTTTGATAGTGTACGCAGTATCATAATGTGTATTTTCTAAAAAAAATGCGTTTTAAGAAATTTTCATAAACAGGGAAAAGAACAAAAGTTTAAAATATGTTTTTGAAATAGATTCTACAATAAACTAGCTTCCACTCGTCTGAAACTTTAAGTTTAATCGACAATTTTTCAATCAAGAATCAAAATCCCAAGCAACGCGAAATACTGACAAGAAAGGGAAAAGTTGTGTAAAGGCATTCGAAATACAAAAACTAAAGTAAAGTTTCAACGTAACTCAAATGAGAAAAAAATATAATTTTAACATTTTAACCATATTTCAAAAAAAGAAAATCATGCCTAGAGATATTGACGTCAGGGTTAACATGACATTAATCTTAATAAAAAGAATGAAATATCCAAAATTGGTTGGACAAACTAAAATAAACACTTACCGACAGTATATATCTTAAAGGTATTTGTTAATGATACAATTCAATGAAAAAGTCTAATTTTAAAGTTTAAAGTTATTTATGAACGAATAAGATACCTGAGTTATGAACCTAGTTGTTGATGATAAAGGAACATAATATAATTAAAGTTTGAAAAAAAATCCCTTTAGAAACAAAGTTGATGTAGTAAATTTTAACGATTTTAAAGTTATGATCAAAGGGAAGATATTTATGGAAATATGGATGTGAGCTAAATATTTGTAAGCACATATGATACTGCTAATGATAATAGCATTCCATATTCTTTGTATGTAGAATTAAGCCGACGACTGTGTACGTGATATGATACAGACCGACATAAATAGGGAGGAGTGAAACCGGTTATATTTCACAGATTAGAATTAAATACAAGTTAAGTGCAACGATCGCTAACACTCCTTTAAACGTGTTTTGTATGTAATTCTAATATATGAATTATAACCTATACATATAAACAAAGTTGCCTTTGATTTCAACTACTGTTAATCACTTTATATTCGCGTGATCTTTATTTCGCGGAAACCCCACCCCCCGGATTATTTCGCGTATTCATTAATTCACGATGGCAGGTTCAGAACTTATATTCGCGGTTCTTTGAATTTTATTTCCAAAAAATGGTGATAATAAGAGACAATTTTTATTTATTTATTTTAAATACAAAATGTACCTACATACATGTAATTGACTTATTATGAACAGTTTTCTAATCATTTGTCAAATTTGTTTGCAAATGCCGTATTTGATAAAACGTTAAATGTTTGTATTAAGGTGTTAAATACTTGTTTATAACACTTAATCTACCGTATAAAAATTGTCCGTTGATCACTGTTTTACCGTAAATATTTTTTCTTATATGCCCAAAATTTAGAGAACTACGTAGAAAATATCTAAAACGTTATTATTATACCTGGGCTAACTTACAAAAATTCAAAAACTTGTTAAGTGAAACTAACCGAAAAATTATTCCGAATCTATGTAAATTTATATATTATGCTAATGTAATGAGAAACTAACAAACATTCTTTAATGCTATAAGCTCTTGAGAAAACTTTTGTCAATAATTTTTGTATAAACATAAGTAAAACCTATACATTTTCATTGTATTTCATGTATTGTTTGCTATAAATATGTTACATGTTTTATGCAATAAATATATTGAATTGAAATATATCTAAACAATATGGGTTCACATTTGTCTGTAAAGTGCAAAATTAGTGGATATTTTCTCTTTTTGTGTTTTACATGCATGTATTCGTGAGGAAAAAGAAATGGGAAAAATCTTTAACCTTCATATCTTTATTATGATGTAAAATAAAACATTGCACATATCAATTATTTGCATTCAGTTACTGTATACATTATAAAACTTAATCACAATTCGAAAAAAATCGTCATCAGATTTATTTTTTTATAATGTATGTTATGTTATAAAATTTACGCGGCATCATGAATTCGCGACGAGGCCGATTCGCGAATAATAGCGGATTTACAGTCATCATCAGTGTCATGTGTTTGCGGTCCGAGAACAGAATCTTGTAATCATAATTAGCTCTTGATGACGAGCACCTGTTAAAACTGAAACAGTGTCGTCAAAATTTACTTCATCAAAACAGCCAGCTGTAAAGTGAAAGTAAGTTTTAAGCACTGAGTGCTTTACTTTTGGGTTATTGTAAAAACATAGTTTTATGTACAGTAACTTTTGAAATAACAACATAATTATATTTTCCGAAAAAAATTATTCTAGTTGACTTTCAATATTAAGCCAACAACATTGTATATGCTACTGTACAGAACAGATTCAGGTATTTAAAGGAGAGTATATAAAACTATCAAAGCAATTGAAAATAGTGCTACTACATTTATTTGATCTATCGAGAGTATTAAAGATATTTATACATTGACAAGTGATAATTGGCCTTGAAATAAATTAGGCCCGGATACCGGACGTCAAGCGTTCAAAATTTTGATACAATCTATTTCCATGTATTGGGGTCACCTGTAACTTTCTGTCCATACTGCATTTGTCAATAAATTGTGTAAATTTGTTTTTAGCATATGTAATATTTAAGACACAAAACAGGCATAAAGCTACGAGTCATAAGAATATGCTTAAGAAATAAGAGGTGTTAATCGCATCATAACTATAAACCAGTGTTAAAGGTCTGATACAATGTAAATACCGCTCAGACCGATAGTGACATAATAAGGGAGACCACTAACGTTTTTTGAAGCGGAGAATATTTCCGCAGCTCATTGACCTGTATTATTTCGCATCTTTCTGACGCTGATGTATAGTATTCATTGAACAAAAAACGAAATCATAAGAAAAGATGTTTCACTCATTTTTCATGAATTATTTTATTAATGTTTCAACAGTTAAACTTGATTGCATTGTGTCGATTAATCAATCTTCATCCTCCAAAATTGACTGTTTAGAATCACAGGCACGAGTATCGGACCTGGGAAGAAAAAATATGACCAGATTGATAAAAAAAAACCTGTGTTCATCTTAAAAGTGTCAAAAAAAAATAAAAAAATTTAAATAATGACCCCCTTTAAAAATATACTATAAGTTAAGAGAAGGCCGGGAACTCCAGATTCGAGCCTACGAGCAAAGGAATTATTTCCCGGACCGTTGTGAAAACATTTGGCCAACAAATTAAATAAAACTTTTATCACTATTTCACGTTTATATTAAGCTTCAAAATGAGACCAACCCCAAGTCTCTAGCCCATCCCGTTCATGAAATATCTATCAGGAAACGAGCGAATTCGTGCTAAAAATCCTTGGTAGACAGAATTGCGGCACAACAATTCGGTACGTAAACATAGACTAATACATGTATGTCAGCTGAGTACGAGTCAAAATCACTTGAATTTACTAAATTATATTACTAAATACATTAAGTTGTATTAGTCTATGTTTACGTACCGAATTGTTGTGCCGCAATTCTGTCTACCAAGGATTTTTAGCACGAATTCGCTCGTTTCCTGATAGATATGATAGATATTTCATGAAAGGGAAGGGCTAGAGACTTGGGGTTGGTCTCATTTTGAAGCTTAATATAAACGTGAAATAGTGATAAAAGTTTTATTTAATTCTCTGGCCAATTGTTTTCACAACGGCCCGGGAAATGAATCCCTTGCTCGTAGGCTCGAATCTGGAGTTTCCGGCCTTCTCTTAACTTATAGAATATTTTTAAAGGGGGTCATTATTTAATTTTTTTTTTGACACTTTTAAGATGAACACAGGTTTTTTTTATCAATCTGGTCATATTTTTCTTCCCAGGTCCGATACTCTTGCCTGTGTTTAGAATTACGTCAGTCAAACGCCTTCATGAATGAGATCCATAAATAGAAGGACGTCATTACGCTGCTTACAAGTTCTCTAAGATGTCACTAATATAAATTATATCATCTTTCATGGATATAATTTGTGATATTAGTGTATGTTAGATGTCAATTTTGCATGACGTAAAAATAAAACATTATAAGAACGATCAGTATCAACAGTATAATGCGTTATTTTAAAGCTTCTGTCAACCCTGTTATGGGAGGGAGAGCATGTGTAAAAAAAGAACAGCTGCATAAACATGTAGTCGCTAACCAATATTTTATTGGCAATACAAGACCGGTTTTTACTTCAATATTTGTATATAACAACAAAATAACGAGACATGTAAGAATATACAACATGCAAAATATTCATAGGCAAGGTAAAATGTCAATCTTAGGATATTAACAAGAAGGGAGAAAAAAAGCAATTTATTGAAACGTTTTAATAATAATTATTATATTTCATTACCTTCTTTTCGTTTCTGATATGTTTCCTCCGACATTTTAGCATCAGCATCAGTATCCCTGACTGAAAATAAAAGTGTCATAAGTATTGTATATTTATAGGAATATGAGAATTCTTGGAATATAAATAATACACACCACATGGCTATTGTAAATGCCCTCGAAAATAATAAATATCGGATGCTTTTTCATCATTTGTTTTTTCTACAGAAGTAACTGATTGAAATATGTCTATAGATAGAAGAAATCTGAAACAAAGTGTGATCAAACACTTGTTTGACATTCTTAAAATGGCATATAACATTGTGTACGCAAATTATGTTAATAATCTATAAGATATCTTACGTTTTTCCGCAGCTGTTTGTATTTCTTTTATTACATTTGCTCCCTCTTTCTTAATTTTTTTAACTCCCTCATTAGCAACAATTTTTATCTTTCTTTTCCCCTTTGTTTTTTGCTTCCTTATCTCTTGAATAGATTCTTGTACTTTAGCCTCAAAAGCATCAATTGACGATGTGAATGCATCATTTAACTTGGAAAGTGAACAATTTTCCTTATCGTCAATATCTTTTACTTTTAAATTTATTATCTCAATAAGCTCTAATTTTTGTTTCTCAGTCTTTTGTTTGTACTCATCCATCTCGTTTCTTATTTGTTCCTGGATAGCATTGCCAACATCTTCCAAAACTGCGCGAACAACATCTTTACCAATGATCAGCTCATCCTTTTGAAGCTGAAATTGTATAGGATTGCTGATTTCAGTAAGTCAATCTTGTTTTCTGTGTACATACAATATGCTGTTTTGACACAAAGTGTTTTGACATAATTTTAATGACGGGTTGAGGGCCAATGTCATTGAATATAAATTGCCAACATGCCCAAGACCTTTTAACAGTTTGAGCAATTCGGTGGAGACAATTTAACTAAAGAATTTATTAGATCGTCAATAAGGAAAACAATCAGTTCTTGTCCAAACTTTGCAGCATAAAGATAAGTTACATTATTAATACTGTGTTAAGAAAATAGAAGAAAAAAAAACAATTAACCGTACCTTTGCTAATTTCTGAATTGCGTTGTTTGGTGTTTTATTTAAAGCTATGAATCCAGGATCAGTCAATATATCATTTAGAATTGTAAAATACTGTTTAAGATCTGCATCCTCGACCTCTAGTTTTGGAGAATGTCTGACATCTTTACCAACGTTTCTACCCTAAAAAATGTTAAAATGACAATGTCAAATTGAAACAAAACTTATTAGCTAGTTTTTATGGTGGCCGATTTGTGCCATTCGTGTTTTTCCAAGCGAACCCATCATGCGAAATGTCAGAAATAAACAAGTTTAAATGGCGGTGGCGCGTAGTGCGGATATACTATTTAGTGGAAGTGCGATTTAATAAATAAAACGTCATCCCGAGAGAGCGCGGAGCTATATTCAATAAATAAAAACGGCGGGGTTACGTAGCACAAACACGCAAATTAGCGGAGGCGCTGGGCGAAGTTTAATAACTAATGGCCCCATCTTTTAAACATGTACAAATTCGACTTTTGACAAGGCGGGTCGCAGGGTAAAATCACACGTCAATAAAAGTAACTATCAATAAGTTTTGTTATTAAACTTCGCCCCTCGCCCCGCTAATAAGCATCTTCTTGCGCCCTGCCTTCGCCACTTGAACTTGTTAATTCTCGAATTTTCGCTTGCAGGATTCGCAGGGCGAAAAAATCCTATTTAGTGTGGGGGCGCATAATTTTATTTATTAAACTTAGCCCCGCCTCCTCCTTCATTTGCATGTTTTCGATCCACTTCCCCGCCATTTCAACTTGATAATTCTCAAATATATGGTTTGCAGGAACGCAGGCGAAATCACGTTATTAAATGGTGTTGCGAATTTCTTTTATTAAACTTCACCCCGTGCACCCGCTTATAAGCGTGTTTTTGCTCCGCGCAAAGCCTTTAACTTGTTAATTCTTGAATTTTCGATCGGCGGGACCGCGGGGAGAAGACGCGAATGGCACGAATCAGCCACCATAAGTTTACCTATGTATTCCTGTTTCTATACAAATACTCATCTAAATATAGGTGTCTATTAAAAATAACATATTAAAAAAGTTAAACAAACATGTTTAAATTTGTACCTTGTCAAATATGTTATTCTTTTTGGAGAGATCATCGTTAATTTTTGTCTCAAATCCTTTGAAGTTAACAATAACACTGATTATACCATTAAAATCGGTATCTACTGCTCTCATTACATCCTTGTAACCATCGGGGGGCATAAAACATTTCGCAATTTCCCACGGACTACTACACCACTTAGTTGCATCGGTGTTTTTAAAAGATGGACCATGAAAACGATGAGCTTTTTGAATCTCAGATCTCATATTATGGCAAATTTTGTTCGGGCAACCAGATTGGTGAAACTTTGTTGAAAAGTTCCTATGGTAACCGCATTTTCCTCGATTGACGTTACATATCCTATTTGTTGGACAAACAACAATATTTTCCGTCTTACAGTTTGAACAGGTGCTCCCCGCTGATAATCCGTTTGATATAGAAATATCCTGAAGACACTTTTGTTGGAACTGTACAATTTCATCACAAACAACAGGCTCTATTTCTTCTTTTGTGAAAAGAATAGCCAACGCAGCCTTAATCCAGTTCAGAAATTTGGGTTTTGACAAAGTGGGGTCCGGTACTGAAGCCATTTTATTTGTCTGCAAGCCACAAATATCTAAAATTGAAAAGAAACGTTGTGTAACATGACTGTTAAGATAATTGCGTGTATTCCAAATGAAAAAGAAAAAGAAAGAATTATGTTTACTGAAAATTGGTTATAATAAATGTACATTTGTATTTATACTTTAACACAAAATACCAAATCTCTGTAACTGTACTTAATGCCAAAACAAATAGAAAAGCAAACTATGGGTCGGCTATATGGACACTGATTTCGTTTTAAAAAACTGTTACAGGATACAAAAAAAATGACAAAAGAATAAATCAACACTTTTTTGAGCAAAAAAGACCTTTAAAAAGTCCTATTTTAATAAAATTGCATTACAAAAGTTACAAAAAATGAACGATGAATATGAACGTTTCCGTCTGAACAAAAAATAAAGCTAATATAAAATCGTTCATAAACGTCACTTCCAATTTCTGTAAACAAGACTTCGACTGGCGTGATTAATATAGCCCTTGATGACAATTGTTTCAAATTGATACTTTAAAATGTTTCAAGTTAATGCATCATGCACACTTCATGCAATGCTCTGAACAAAAACGAGGGACACAGTACTACGAAGGAAAGTTACAAAATAAAGGTATATGTTAGTTATCATTTTAGAAAATTAGTCTATTTTTTTATTTAAATTTGCATTTTGTTATGCTCATAAACACCAGAAAGGTAAAATGTAACTAAATCATATAAAGGAAGGTCAAAAATTCGATGAATAGTAAAAGTTATTGCAAGGACTTGAAGACAATGTCCAACTTAAGGTAGTACACCCCTATCTCCACTTTGAAGAGTATTCAAATAGGCTACAATTAAAGTTTTGCGTGCAAGTTGGCATCTCTAAAACTTCTGAAGAAAATTTTTTGAAAACTCAGATTATATTTATCTGTGGTTATCTAACATTGTTAGTATAGATCCAATAAGCGTGTGTTACCTTTCTACAAATCTATGCCTTTTTTACTATCAGGCACTGAAAATAGCTAAGTTCCCTGTCTTAAAGGTCTTGTTAAGAAAAGTTTGAAATTTCAATGACATTTCTTCTACTAAATAAAAAATGTAAAGCAAACATAGAAAATCGAAAGAAATTCGAAACCAATGTTTGGAGGATTGGAAGATAAAGTTATTCCAGTGATGAAGGAAGGTGTCTGCCCAAACGTTTATAAAGTATGATGTACATTGATTTCGACGATATATCTATTTATAGATTTCCAAACAAGTGAATACGTATATGTGCAAATGTCATATTTCTGTAGTAATACCCTGTAAATATTATGGTTATTCACTTCAAGTGATAATATAATATTAACAGCAGTGAAATATAGGTGCCTTTCGTTAAGTTGTTTAAAGGGAGACGCAGGCAAAATTTTCATTTCTTAGTTTTGTGTTTTTCAGTCAATATTCTGTAAATGCCCTCAAAATGAATATATTAGACAGTGAAAGGAACAAAACTTTTCACCATATAAAGAATAAAATGGTGGTTTCCTAACTTGACCCGCGTGGGTCAGGTAAGAGCGCTAGGATTTCACAATAGTTGTCACAGTGAACTCTGGAAACGTTAAAGAACATGTCAAATGAATGCCTTAGACTTGTTTCAATCATACAATATCCATAATATCTGTTTTTTAATTTGGGGTTTTTTCAATTAATTTATGATTTTTTTAAAACTTTTTGGCGATTCTTTGGGGGTGTGATTTTTTAATATAAAAGAATATTTACGCTTAATCCAAAATATTTAGAATTTAAACAAAAGTTAATGCAGAAACTTCAAGAAATGTCATTTTAGCGTGATTTAAGTACATAAGATCATTTTCATATTTTGTCATTATTTCGCCTGAATATCCCATTATTATCATTTATTATTATATTTGTTAAATTTCGGTTACAAATCGATTTCCACTGTTCAGGCATTTGCTGTTTATCATACTCTATTTAAAGATATCACACATCAGTGCAGATATCCTATTTCTGCTTTGCTTCGCTACAAATAGTTTTTTTTTCAAGTTGATTATTCAATTTGAGCCAATTAGACGATATAATCTTTAAATATAAAATATATATAGTTTAAAATAGTATGTAGCTGTAAACTAGTTTGCAATTTTTCTTTTCTTACATGAATGTCTAATCATAAAGACGTCGTGGTGATTTTATCTTTTAAATTGACGGTCATGAAGTATCTTTTTGTTCATTTTTACCCAACTTAGAGAGCCATTGTTATTCAATACATTATGGTCTGTTGACATGAATGATATCTATAGAAATCAATCTTTATTCAATGTGCATGCCTGAAAAACATATTATCATATTATATGACGGATCATGAGATTTAAAGCGTGAACAACAATTGGTAAAAGAATGTTCATAACATGTATTTAATAGGTTAAATGGATTTAATCTGTGTTTTTCGTATTTCCTTATCACATTACCTTATAATTTTAATATAAATTCTTTTAATCAAATTTGTCAAAGAACATTTGAACTTTATATTTGAAACTATTATAACACACATCGGGCATCATTGATTAAGAAATTGAACACAATTGATATACAATAAACGTTTTCAAATGCAAATATATATTTACAAGATAAGACCGCAAGTATGAGAGACTGGCTTCATTACGGCCAAGTTACTAGGTGATTGTTCATCTTATTGGTTAATACGCCATACAAGTACAACGCCATAATTGTACCAGCTTGCATATGTTGTTTCACTGAAATCAATAAATCAAGGGAAATATAATTTGATAATGCTGGCATGATATTGAATTACTTTCACGTTTATAGATTTATAAGTTATAAATATAAGTTTAAAAGATTACAGATATTACTTTCATCATGCCTATATATAATAATAACCTACGGAATAATTATCAATTGAATTTTAACAACTCTTTTATAATAGCAAATTTTTGGGTAGTTCAAGAACCATGTTAAAGTACAAACCAGACATAATATACAATATCAAATGTGATTAAAATAATTAACGTTGTATATCATTCATAAGATGATGACATAATGAAATCACCAGTCTGTCATTTTTTTATGATTGTTGATAATCACTTCATGTACACAATTATAATGGTAGCATTCATTGATTGATTGCCTTTTTTTCTTATTCGGTTCTAACAGTTCTTCAGCTGTATTTGTTTCGATAAAAAATTATGCAGTTGACTAATTCTATTTTGTAATGGTATTCAAGAATATTTAGATATGAAACACGTGATTCCATTTGTCATTATAATTAACGCATATTTATTTGCCAATAAAATATCATACATGTACTTTGGAATCATAAATTAAAGAATGATGATATTAGTTCTTGTTGCCTTTTTCTGGCCGTGTAGCACCGATGCTACTTTTGCTGCTATTTACTTTAAAATTGCATGATTATAACATTTTACTCAATTTAAACCTGTCACAGCTATGGAAATATGATTGACTTAGCTGGACACTCAGAAATTGTTCTTAAGAGAATATCCCAGATTTGTTGTTTATCGCCATTCCTGGACGGCGATGTATGCAATTAACAAGATTTGAGCGGTTCTTCCTGTACACCGCCTGCTTTTTGTCAATCAAGCGGATAATTTAATATCACATAATAACAAAATGGACATCAAAAAACTTCAATGAGGGATGCTTAAATGAACTTGCCCAACCGCCATGTTTTTTGGGTTACTTATTCTTACAACTGCAAAATACATTTATTAACTTACGAACTAAGTACAAGTATTAAGGCCTTTGTAGGATACACGTAGCAAATTGCAATATTTTTTGCTACATTTCTGATTAGAGAATGTAGTCTATATAATTCTTTCAAACACTTGAACTTGAAGAAAAAAAACTTAATAATCTTCCGGGCCAATTAAATACTATGAGGTTTTTATTGCATTATACCTATAATAGTGCAGGTCAGTTATATTCCGTTTCAGAAAAATAACTTCGCAAAGCAGTCGACGGAGTATAGAACGTAAATTTAATTTACTTTACAGAAATGTTCACAGACATCAATTTTAATAAGTAGCAGGTAACTGTTGTTAATTACGCAAGAAGCTAGTTATTTTTCCGATTGATAAACTCATTAAGTAGCGTATGTAGTCTAACTAATTGTACTAGGAGTTACGTTATTGTGATATTTTTCTTATGGGCAATATTGAGTATCTCCTACATTCTGACCTAGAACAAAAATATGTCAGAGTCTAACTGAGCGCGTCAAAATATCTTGATTAGAACGGAATGATAGAGTATATCAAGTTTTTTTGGTGGCTTTATATGTTGACAAATAAAATTAAGGTATTAGGCAAGAAATGAAATGTTATTTCTATATTCATGGCTGGACGCCGATTCCAATATATATAACCACAGTTTGTGTTATCTCTTTTATGATACATATTACTTTGATCAATGATTCAAAAAATATATATAATTATGGTCACTTATCCTATATCACTTTGTAATTAAGAAGCACGCCTATGGTGTCTTAAAAAGCGATTATGTACAAGAAAACAAATTAAACAAACTAGTGTGCCTTCACAATTGTGTAATTTAGTCATTTGGCCGAAAATGACATAGCAAAGACGAAAATTGTACGTTATTATCTTAAGTTTGATATTACTATCGTTGAATACAAGATATGATACTAGTTCCTATTTTTAAACATTCTTTTACAATTTTTTCCGCCAGCTGCTTGCTTGTTAAGGACAAGTACACTTACTTTTATCAAGAGTTTATTTCGATTTTGATGAAATGACATAACAGTCTCATATTTAAGTGTATAACATTACCGTCAAATATTGAGTATAGCCAGTGAAATTCATTATTTGCTGGAAGATCTAAACATTTTTATATGCCCGAAGGGCATATTATGTTATACCCCCTGGCGTCCGTCCGTCCGTCCGTCCGTCTGTTAGCAATTTGGTTTCCGGAGCATAACTTAAGTTCCATTTGACCCACAATGTTCAAACTTCATAGAATGATTTTCCATATTGGGTAGAAGATCCCTATTG